GCGTGCGTGCGTGCGTGCGTGCGTGCGTGCGTGCGTGCGTGCGTGCGTGCGTGCGTGCGTGCGTGCGTGCGTGCGTGCGTGCGTGCGTGCGTGCGTGCGTGCGTGCGTGCGTGCGTGCGTGCGTGCGTGCGTGCGTGCGTGCGTGCGTGCGTGCGTGCGTGCGTGCGTGCGTGGGTGGGTGGGTGGGTGGGTGGGTGGGTGGGTGGGTGGGTGGGTGTGTGTGTGTGTGCGCGCACAGTGACCTGGATTCCCTCTGAAATGGGACGCAAATGAGTGCTTCTACCCCTTTTGGTGGTCTTTTTAAGGGAGACCAAAGGGAAAACCAGCATTTTGGGGGATCCCCTAGAAAAGACACCCAAATGGACACTCTCTATGTCGCACTACCCTAAACCATGTCTTCAACCCCTCCCAATTTGCTCTGCTTGGTGGAACCACTTATCGGGGCTTCCCATTTGCGGCATCCGTTGCTCGAAGTGCCAAAGAACGACATGCTTGTCAGTCACCGTTTATGCTGTGTGGATTCGACAGGGGAAACATACCACACCTGTTGCAAACTGTTCTACCACCAGCGGGTTCGACATGCTATTGCTGCAGTGATCCCAGTCTTGTCTGGGGAAGTCTGATGGCAGCCAGGTCACTTTTTCGGTGGCAAGGTGGCGTTTCCCCAAGTCTATCAGCCCCAGGAAGTTTGCTTTGCGTGTCTTTTTCTTGACAGCAATTTGGGAGCTTGGGCTCTCCAACTTACAACAAATCCTGAAGGTTTCTTACCCCGGCTCCTGCGACTGCAGGTGCAGCAACTGCGTCCCCACAAAGGGCGCGGGCAGCGTCTGTGGCAGGGTCTCCTGCGACTCGGGGCTTTGGCCTGAGGTCTTCCTTCGGCGATTTTTGGACTCACACGCAAGCAGGGTACTTAAAGGGGCGATCGAGGCAGGGTGCGTCAGGTAAGTGCTGAGGCCCGGTTGCAACCCGCATAGAAGCAACTTACCGCTTGATTCATAACCATGAGTAACTGACCTTGTTGCCAGTTTAGAAAGCCAGACTGCCGAGGTTGGGAGGAGGGTTAACTGGGAGTCAACTGGGTCCACTTGAGAAACTCCCAGTAACTCCCAGGCTTCCGAAGTGGTGATGTGGAGTTGGGGTGATTTCTTGACGACATGTGCCGGTTGACCATGTTTAGCTCCCAGGTATTTAGAGGGTGGAATCATGTGGAATCCATTGAACCACGGAGTTTTGGCAGCCGGACAGGGTGGAACTGCCAAAACCGCGATTGTTTGATTATGGAGTTCCTTGGGGGGCGGGGGAGTGGTCTAAGGGGAGGGGGGGTTCCCTAAGGCTCCCCAAGGAACCCCTCAAAAAACCCTAAACAACCCCAGAGCTCTCAACTACCCACCCCCCTTGTACCTACCTCCCTTACGGGCTCCAACATTGAAACAATCTCCCCCACCCCAGAAGAGCTTCCTTCCACCCCGCGCCTCCGCGTGCGCCATCCAAAGGCCACTACAAGCTGCACCCGGGGATTGGACCAAAAAGCTCCAGAGTCAAAGCCGATCGGTATTCTGTGATATTGTCCCTCACTACCCGCCAATTCTCCGGGTCTTCATTGTGACTCATATGATTTCTACAGTTTTCCGGGCCCGGCGGTGGACCTGGGAAAACAGTCCGGCTCCCCGGAATTTATTTATTTTTGCGGGGCTCCACGAGCCATGGGGGTGGCGTCCACTGCTCGCAGCCCAGGACCACGAAACTCAGGGAAGAGGACCTTTCAGAAGCAGAGGTGGCCAGAGCTCCCTGGTTGGAAGAAGACGTCTTGGGAGATATAAGCACAGGGAGATTCCCAGCCTCAAAGGACCCTGCGAAGCCATGCATGAACATCTGTGCACATATTGGAGACAGGTCGAATCCGAAGAAAAGATCCACACATATCAAAACATATCATATCTCGGCATCTCCAAACCAATCAAACCATCCAAACTACCATGGCTCCGCTTCTTCCCTCGCAAGCGGATGCCTCTCTGCAAGTCGGGGGAACAAGAACCTGTTCGCAAGCCCTGGGAACCCATTGATCTCAAACTCCCTGCGTTGGCCCCGGAAAACTTTTGAATTACCAGGCGAAAGCTTTGCATGGGCGTGTCCTGTTTTGAGTTGGTACACTTTGTTGGGGGGTTCAAAGGAAAACCAAGATGAAAACTACCCAATCTGGACAAGAACTGTAAAAAAATTGACAGACCCGCACAAAGCCCAACTCCCGCAGTTGGGTCAACCGCGCAGGTCGATAGGTCGAGTCCTTTCTCGGCGCGCGCTTCGTGGATCGCCCGATGGGCGCTCTTTTTCTTTGGAAGCTGCACCAGGCGACGTGGAGTTCCCTCTTGCAGGAGGGTGTGTTTTTGAGGATATCCTTTTTGGGGTTGGTTTCAAGGAACACCAAACCGAGAAACTTGGTAGTCGGAACTCCAGCCGACACTTTTGGGCCACACCCGTTTTAAGCGCGGCCCAAAAGAATGTACCCCGAAACGCCGGGAAGTTTGAGCAGTGCCTTTGAAAGCAATATGGATATGCCTCGAGAGGGAGGGGGGAAGAATCCGACCGCAGCTTTCCAGCTGAACCACCCCTTTCAGCCCACAAAGGCGGCGACAACAACAGGGGGAGGAGCAGTTGAAAGGGAGCATAAGGTTGCGTAAGAGATGCAAGGTGGTCCTTTCCTTGCAAAATTTGACCTTCTCAGTTCCTGAGTGGATTGGCCCAAAAAAGAAAAAACTGGAATGGCCACACAGGGTAGGTGCATTTTGAGAATTGATTTGATTTGGAGAAACCCCTTTCAAAACAAGCTGAAAGACGGCGGCTCCATGAGGTCTGGGCTTGCTTGCTGTGCGTGTGGGTGTGGGTGTGGGTGTGGGTGTGGGTGAGGGTGTGTTTGTGTGTGTGTGTGGGCGCCTGCCTGCCTGCCTGCCTGCCTGCCTGCCTGCCTGCCTGCCTGCCTGCCTGCCTGCCTGCCTGCCTGCCTGCCTGCCTGCCTGCCTGCCTGCCTGCCTGCCTGCCTGCCTGCCTGCCTGCCTGCCTGCCTGCCTGCCTGCCTGCCTGCCTGCCTGCCTGCCTGCCTGCCTGCCTGCCTGCCTGCCTGCCTGCCTGCCTGCCTGCCTGCCTGCCTGCCTGCCTGCCTGCCTGCCTGCCTGCCTGCCTGCCTGCCTGCCTGCCTGCCTGCCTGATACATATACATATGATAGCTAATCAATAGATAGACGTTATCTGTTAACGATCGGATGGTTATCAAATAATGTTGGCAGCTATTTATTGCACTCAATCAATAGCTATCACAGTTCAAAAATAGCTTCTGATAGCTAATAGCTATCAAGCTAACAGCTATTGTACATCAATGAAAATAGCAGATAAGAAATTCCTAGTCCTATCACTCTGGTAGCTATTGGAAGGCAACAAGTAGCTACCGAACGTCTTCCGCCTGCCTGCCTGCCCGCCTGGTGAATCTCTTTGTTTTCCTGCTTGCTTCTGTTACAACACAAGGTCCTGAAGAATCCTTCACTAAAGGATGGGTTCCCTTGCATCCCGTTTCATTTTGCTTCTTTCTCGACACAGCTCTTTGCCGCGAGGCGCAAGCCCCCTCACAGCTGCACGGTCTCCAGGCCCAAGTCTACCTTCTTCCTCGGAGCCCGAGTGACGACGAGAGTCGAAACCAAAAGAAAACTTGAAAAACAAACAGAGGAAACTCAATCTTCAAAGTCAAAAAACCAGAAACCGACCACAAAAACATGCAAACAGACCAAGACGGAGAGGAGGAAAATTAAGACCCAAATACCATCCCACCAAATTAACATGGAACCTGAAAGACCCAAATATCATCCCACCAAATTGACATGTAACCTGACGTTTTGGGGGGGGGGGGGGTTCCTGGTTTCAACAATTTTCCTTCCGAAGGGACCGGGTCCCGAACGTCAGGTTGCATGAGAAAAGGGTGGGAGCGTACCCTTCCCTTCCACAAATTCAAGTAAACCGACCATACCCCCCCCAAAAAAAAGAAGAAGAGGAAAGACAACCTTCCACAAATGCAAATAAACCAACCATACCCCCCACAAAAAACAAAAAAGAAAAGAGGGACAAACCTTCCACAAATGCAAGTAAACCAACCATTACCCCCCCCCAAAAAAAAAAGAAGAAAAAGACAAACCTTCCACAAATGCAAGTAGACCAACCATACCACCCCCCCCAAAAAAAAAAAAACACTTCCACAAATGCAAGTACCCCCCCAAAAAAAAGAAGAAAAGAGCCTCCACAAATGCAAGTAAACCAACCATACCCCCGCCCCCCCCCCACCAAGAAAAAAAAGAAGAAAAGAACTTCCACAAATGCAAGTAGACCAACCATATCCCCCTCCCCCCCCCCAAAAAAAAAAAGGAAAGAAGAAACAACTTCCACAAATGCAAGTAAACCAACCACCCCCCCCCAAAAAAAAAAAAAAAAACCTTCCACAAATGCTGTAAACCAACCATTCCCCCCCCCCCAAAAAAAAAAAGAAGAAAAGAACTTCCACAAATGCAAGTAAACCAACCCTTCCCCCCGCAAAAAAAGAAGAAGAAGAAGAAGACAATAACTTCCACAAATGCAAGTAAACCAACCATAGTCCCCCCCCAAAAAAAAAGAAAGAAAATAACTTCCACAAATGCAAGTAGACCAACCGTAGCCCCCCCCCCAAAAAAAAAAACAAGAAGAAGAATAGAGAATTCCACAAATGCAAGTAAACCAACCATAACCCCACACACACACATAAAAAAAAGCCCCCCCCCCCAAAAAAAAAAAAAGGCAAGAAAGAAAGCCAAGCACGTGGCAGGGGCCTCCAACCTGCCGGGGCTCGGCGGCTTCCTGGGCGCGGAGAAGCCCGGGGACTCCACGCCGCGGCCGAACTTCATCCACCGCACCCAGGCGGTGGGGAAGCGGCGGGTCAGCTCCTCCCAGAAGTTGGTGTCCTCCAAGGCAGGGCTCCAAGGCCGGAAATGGGTTGGAGAGGTGAAGGGTGAGAGGGGTGGATCAGAGGGCTCCAGGGCTCCAGGGCTCCAAGGGAAGGGTTGGGGGGGGCAGGGATCAGAGGAAGGGGTTGGAGGCATAGGCGTCCTAGGGGCAAGAGATGGTTTTTTACTGGTAGATGACGAAAAGCCGCCAGGTAAACCGGGGATCGCCATCTATTGTTCGAGCAAGACAACCAAAAAGGACACCCATCTCCAAGGCTCCAGGGCTCCAAGGCCCCGGCCGGCTCCAAGGCTCCAAGGCTCCAAGTGGGTTGGAGGGGAGGGTGAGAGGGGTGGATGGGGAAGGGGTGAGGGGAAGGGGTGGATGGGTGCATGGGTGGAGGGGTGGGGTGAAGTTCTAGGTCAACCCACGGAGGGTAAGTTCAGGGGGAAGCCAATTGATTGATGCCCTAGCAGATGTTTGAGCGGGTCCCACAGATTCTTTGAAGTTGATATGGAAACCGGAGGAGCCCAAAATGGGTGGCTGTCCTTTGGCTTGGTTCTTAACCAACCTTTAAAACAAGGCACCATCGAGAAAAAGAATAATAAAATCAACGTGCCCTTTATCCAACCCCATGATCTTGGCCACCCACTGGGGTGCACCACAAATGATATGTGCTGGTGCTGCTTCATATTTCGTCCGCCCGACAAACAAGCATGCTTGAAGAGCTTTGCTTTGGGGAAACCAAAGGGTCTCCGGGGATGAGGGTTGGATCCTACGCCCCCCAGGGTGCCTTCACACCTTGCAAGGATGTACTTTGCTCTCACAAGGAACAGGACGTCTCACTTTTTCGAAAAGTGGAAGCCTTAGTGTCATGTTGGTTGCACATAGCGGATTGCACTGGTAAATGAGGAACGTGTCTTTCTTTCTTTCTTTCTTTCTTTCTTTCTTCCTTTCCTTTCTTTCTTTCTTTCTTTCTTTCTTTACTTATTTATGTATTTATTTTCGGGGACTGACCCCCGAAAAAAAATGGCTTTCCTGTTGGTTTCCCTTGCTAGCCACAAAAAAAGAGGCAGTGTAAAACAAGACAGACCCACGAGTGGTCCCTCATGCTTCATGAAAATCCTACCAGCTCGGAGGGAGGGAGCCAACGGCCCCAAAGCCACCCAAAGCTTCGGAAGCCGCGTGCTTAGAAGTGGGTCTAATGGAAGGGTTCTGCGTACCGGGCTGGGGGGGAAAGCAATGTCTGTTCTTAGAGAATCCCAGGTGTCCTTTTTGAAAAACATGAGGCATGCGTTGCACTGGTGAATAGATAGAACCAGGCTGACTGTAGTGGAATCCATCTAGTTTGAAGCCAAACTGACCTACAAAAGCACACCCACGTAAGAGGGATTCAACTTCCCGCTTAAGCTCCACACCAGAATCATTCCTTGGAATCCTGGAATTGTGGGATTCCACATCAACCCGTTGGTATAGTGTTGCCCAGCATCATCTCCAAAATCCTTCAGAAGACAAAAAAAGACAGAGCCCTTTTGAAGGCAAAAACAAGAAGCCCTGCTTTGCAGGGGCCATCTCCAACGAAGAGCCACTCTTAAGAAAGTGGGTGCCGCTGAACCAAAACCATGTTTCGTAGTGGACAAACTCCCGGCCTTATCCATCCAAAAGGCGAGGCTTTCGTTCATACCGGCAATCATGCTTCCCCCAAACTAAAAAGGGTTCAAACACGAAATCCAGCGGACAGCCGACAGCTGCAACCCTTGCCACTCCAGGAGCTTTAAGCTGAAAGCTCCGAAGCTCCTTGTGCAAGCGCGGGTCGGCAAACTGGAAGGCTGCGATGTTGCCTCGAACATGGGCTTGTCTCAAAATAGACGGCACCCTCGAAATTGGTTGTTTTCCTTTAACACGAGCCGTCAAAAAGAAGGCACCCGCATCAAGCCGATCAACCTTGTCATCAAGGAAATTGCTTGTTTCCCCTGCTGGAGAGGGTTCTGTCCCCTGGGCTTTGTGGAATTTTAGTGAGTTTCCCCACGCCCCTCCCAAACGAACCATTAACAAATCCATGTAAGCTGCACTCGCTTCACCCATTTGGTTCTGCCTGGTTGTACAGCCCATTCACTCTCTACCTGGTTTTAAAGCTAATTCCATTTTGGTTCTAAATGGTTTGCAAGGTTTATACAGGTCCCACCCGCTAGCGGAAACGCCTACCCATGTAAAAATTGGGCGTCCTCCACCCCCTCCCCGTTTCTCCATCGGAGGCCAACCCGGATCATGTTGCAAGACAAACCGGTGGGTTCCACTTAAACTGCCAAGAACATATTCCGAGTCCTCTCTTCAGGTGCCGCGGACAGTTGAAACGATTTCGCTGTGACCATTTCCTCTTCAAATCAACGAGGAACAATGACAAGCTTTTCAAGCGAGTATTTAAAAAAAAAAAAAAAACTGTCTTTTCCCTGCGAATTAAGGTGCATTTTGTTTGAAAAGAAAGATCCCTGGAAACTATGAGACCCAATCAATCCATGTAAGTACGAAACATAACTTTGAAGGGGATTCCCCAAGAGTATCACAGAACGTGGCAGCTTAAGACCCTCCCCTACAAACCAACTGACCCACCAAGAGCTTTCTCAAAATCGAGACTCCTTTTTGAACATACGATTCCATCTTAGCCTGCAGAGGAGCATTTCCCAGAGTCAGGTTAAAAAGATACACCCATGTGGGATCCGTTCAAGCAAAGGGTACCCCCTCAAAAAACAGAAGTAAGAACAAAAACAAGACACACACCCTTTCCTTCCCCCCCTACCCTCCCTTCCCCCCCCATTCCCTCCTTCCCCCCTTCCCCCCCTTCGCTTGGGGGCGGGTCATGGCGCGCATCACCAGCTTGGGCCGGCTCCGCAGCTCCGGGCAGGCGAACTGCAGAGCGAGGCCCTCCTGCTTCAGCGCCAGGTCCACCTTTGCTTCGCTGGCCGGTTTCTCTTCGGGGAAGCCCCGTTTGGGATGGAGGAAAACCAGAAAGAGAAGGCCGAGCCCGTTTTACGGGGCAAAAAGACACACCACCCGAAGTCCTGAATGGCCATGCCCTGGTTTGAAGAGAAAGCACTGGCCTGGGCGAATGTTCGATGAAAGGTTCCCGTTAGCGAGAGTTCCTCGACAAGGAATTGCCAGCTGGGCATCTAGGCCGGGACTTGTTGCAGGCCCGTGAACCGAACAGGAAAGTGAACATAGGCCCAAGGGAACCACCCTTCTTGGAACCAAGAGGCAAATCACTGGTAACCGGAATCCGCTGGTATGATACTTAGCTTGGGGGAAAAACGAAGCTGAAAGACACGCTGCCTACACCTGCAAGCTCTCCTTTGGGGAGGATACCAAGGCCCATGAGCCCGTGTTTTCGGACCACTGCGAGGGGGTTAATCCACCGTATCCAGAAATCAAGGGATTTGAGTTGCCTCACTACCTGCTTCGACCCAGGGTAAGTCGCTTTTAAGACAAGGGTGAGGGGGGTCTTTATTTTCTGGCTCCTCTTTCCAAGTGCAGGGAATCCGTGCCGCCACTCACGTGGATGTTTTACCAGTTGCGGGTTTCTTGGCAATTTGAGAGTTGTTTTGCCATTTTTTGGCCTGGGGGAGGGGAGAGGCTAACGTAAGGGCTCCTTATGGTTACACGGGGCTTGGCCTTACCGGATGGGGAGGTGATCTGAAGGGTCCCTGTCTTGGGCAATTTGAATTGGCCCTGGTGAAAAGGCCTTCCACATATGTTTAGTTGAAACACCCGCCGTAGCCTCGAGCCCAACACAAACATGTTGGCGCTAATTTCACACATCTTATTTTAGGGGTTGCCTCGAAAGACAGACCCACCCGGTGCTTCCAGCTACCACTAAAGGCAACCAAGGGAAACCATGATGTAACCCTATTGGCCATTGTTACCCTCCCACCAATTAACATGGAACCTGTGGGGAGGGTACCTACTCAAGTACCACTATAAGCACCCCAAAAAAAAAACTTATTGATTATATACCTTTTTTCTGGGGGGGTCGCCATGGTTACCCGGAAGCACAAGGCTTCCGGAGCCAGCCGGCGGCACCGCCCCATGGCGCCCCTGAGCCCGGCGCCAGCTCCTCCTTGCCCTGCAGCCGCGCGGAGGCGAACTCCAACGCACGCCAGGTCCTTGGACCCGACGCACCGGGAAGGGCGGCCAGGGTGCAATGCTGGCATGTGTCTTTTCTTGCATGGATTTGTTTAAAGCAGGCATGGCAATTGCTGAACGAAAACCTGACTATTCCAGGGGGGGTACCATGTATATATATATATATATATATACAGAGAGAGGGAGAGAGAGAGAGAGAGAGAGCGAAAAACAATGAGAGCGAGAGAGAGAGGGAGAGAAGGGACAGAGATAGAGAGAGATAATAATGCATGTATGTATATCTACATATGTATCTAACATATATATATATATATATGTATGTATATATATGTATGAATGTATATATATATATACATATATATGTGTATATATATATATATGTAAAACACCTATAGCTCCCAACTGGAAATACAAGACCCAAAAGTGATGGACCATCATCATAGGTGAGCTCGCTTCTCACTAGGGCAAAAGGCTCCCGCCTAGATAAGAACCCGTTGATCAAAGTAGTGGTTGCTTGGTTCATCTGAAGGATTTGTGGGTTCCTTCTTTGGTTTCTAGGAAGATGCTCCCCAGTCAGTCAAATCAGCCTCCAAAAATGAATGGCTGTTTGGGGTTCCTTCCGTGCTTGGAACCTGGTTTGCTGGATGGTTCCATGCATGAGTAACGACAGTAAAGACCTATGGTGATCCAGATCCCCTGAAATGCGACACCCTTCATCAAAATCGGGCAGGCGCGCATTAATCCTGGAGGCCTCATTTCGAGGCATTCAAAAAACAATGTGTCCCTGGTCACAAGAGAATGAAAGGGGTCCTTTTGAGACAATGTTGACCCCAGTTCATACACCCTTCCTAAGGGAGGTGTCACCCACTGTGAAGGAAGATACTTCTTACATGGAACACCGTACTCAACTAGGGCTGCATTTCTAGAAAACGGTTTGGATGCGGCCTGTGGATCCACCCCTGTGTATTACAAGAATACTAAAAGGATTGCAATATCAGTCTGGGGTATAATCTTGACGCTTTCTGGGTATCGAACCACCTTGTCACCCAGGGGGCCAGCGGGTTGTCAAACGCCCTAAGATTCGCCTGCAAATAAGATGTGATGGTGGGTTCAAAGGAGGAGCACATGCAGAGTAAGGGTGTTTTGCAACCTGGGGCTTTCAAAATGAAGGGCTCTTTTTGGTATATAAATCCCCTTAAGGCAGCACTCGGCGGCAACCCACCTTTGCTACATGTCCAGGGGGTCCGATTCCCACAACGAGATCCAATGAGGATTGTTGGGTTCAATGTTAATGCTCAGGGGAGTAATATTGACCCCAGGAACAACAATTCCTGGTCAATGTTGATCGGGGGCATCCCGTTTTAGTGGAGATTCAGACCACTTTTGGGAGGGAACCCCCCTTAAAGAGGACAGGGGTGTGTGCATTCAGCCAAATTCAATACTCCTAGACCCCCAAACCTCCCAAACCCCGTAAGCCAAAATCAATACCCCAAACCTCCCGAAACCTCCCAAACCCCGTAAGCCAATGGTGTTCAACATTAAAGGGGCATCGTACGTCAGGTAAGTGGGTGATAACCATGGTTGTCACCCACAAAAGCCATGGTTGTAAGTCTCTGTTCAGTGGGTTAGAACCAGGCTTACCAAGCACTTACCTTTACCTGCCGCACCGAAGCGATCGCCCCCTTTTAAGGGGGGGCTGATGAAACCGCACGAAATCCTGTCGCCGGGCGTCTGCTTCACCGCGGCGTAGCAGATCGCCTCGTCGTCCTGCAGCTCCGGCGACGCGAAGCGCAGCACCAGGCCGTCCTGACGCCCCGTCAAGGAGTCTCTTGGCCGTCAAAGGGGTGTACTGCTCTCCTTATGAGGGGATTCTGTTTGGGCGCCTTTTTTAGGGGACCCCCCAAAAAAACAGGTGGTGTGTCTTGTTGGTGTCCCTTTTGCTACCGCAAAAAGTGGGCCACCTAAACAAAACACACACATATTTAGTCTGCCCTACGTGAAATAGTTTTGGAGACAGGTGTTGGTTCTGCCCCCCAAACGACTGGGACACTCTATACCGATCCGGCTGTTCGCCATCGATTCCCTGCTAAACGTCCAACCATTGGTGGGTTTAAACGAAAACTACCACTAAGCCAACGAAAAACAACTAAAAACCTAAGGGGATGGCTGGGAACCACCAAGTACATACTTGTTTTGTTGCTCTCCCATTAAACGTTGGGCAGTGGAAACCATCTTGGATGAAATGGCAAGTGACCAGCCTGCTTCACGGCCCGCAGAACCACCATCTTCTCGCCGCTCAGCCTATCGGAAGCAACAAGCAGAGTGCGCGAGGGAATGAGCCTGGAGATGCCCTCAAAGGAAACCACCCAGCTGAATGGGTGAACAACTTGAACACTCCGTTTTCTCTGTCCCCAGATCCGACCCAACCTCCCAGCCTGAACCCAGGCTTCACAAGATGTCCCATTTCAACACCCAAAAGAACTTTCAGCTTAAATCGGTGACGATAGAACGACGGCTGGTTGCTCCTGGGCGGGAAAACTGGAGGGAGCCCAAGCTGGAAGGCTTTCCCGTGAGGTACCAGGTCCACAACCAAGTCCTCCGTTGCATCAGATCGGCAAAAACCGCCAGTGGCACGGTTCAGTTCGTGGTTCCAACCTGTTCGACTTAAGCCGCAAGCTTTTGCCTACCCTATCACATAGTCTTGCAAAAGACCCCATTCAAGGGTGGGTCACTTTCTCACCCTGAGGATGTCAAGCAGTACCCTCCCAGTGACCAGGGAATCGGGAAGGCCGAAGTCCCTCGAAGATCCATCTCCGCTGAAAAGGATCTTTTACTTCGCCCAGTTGCCCAGTTGCCCAGTTGCCCAGTTGCCCAGTTGACCCTAGAACAAGGGGCTTCTTTTCGAGGACGAGCATTTTTGGCGCAGAACACCACCAAACAAACAAACGACTTGGCGGGTGCCACTTGGCAACGAAAGGCTTCATGTGGGTGACCTCCATTCTTTGAGGGGTAGACAGCAACGAGATATCCCCCCTGTGGGTGGTGGTGGCGAAATCCATGCCGCTTCTCGCTTCTCGCGCCGCGGTTCAGAAAGCCCCGGGTTTCTGACGACCCCGCCTCCCCTTGTCAATTACCAACCGACGTGGTGGTTTCACCCGGTCTCATTTGGTGCCGAGTCCGGGATGCCGAGCCCCCCGAAACCGGCCGAGGGTTGACCCGAAGCCGCGTCAGCGTGGGCCATGGTGGGAGAAGACCCTCGTGTGGTGACCGGCGCACGGGTCAAAGGCCTCCCTCTCCCTTTCCAAGCCCAAAGAAGGTGAGAGCGAAAAACCTCAAGCAGGGTACTTCGTAGTAAGCCTGCACTGAACCGAGACTTGGGCTCCTTTTCTCCGGCAGAGCTCCTGGCAAAGTTGACGGTTTGGGCACTCGCAAAGGCAAAAGTCAAGTAGGTGACTGAAGTGTCTGCTAGTGAAAAACGACCACCCATCACCCAGCGTCTCTGCCAGTGTTCTGAGGACGCCTTAGTCGAGGGATTCCCATCCCCATCAGAGACTACTAGAAGTCACTTGACAGCGGGCTTTCCTTCAGATCACCGGAGCCGGCTCCAAAAACCCTATTCCATACTCGCTTTTAGCGCCACGGGCGCCTCGGGTCGCGCACCACCTGGGGGTTGCGCCGGATCATCTCCTTCCTGGGCGCCAAGGGATGAACGACACGGTGGCCCCGTTTCACTTGAATGGGCAGGATACTTAGTAAGTGGTTAGTAAGCCAGGGTATAACCCACAAAAGCCGTGGTTATGGGTTCGTCAGGCAAGCGGTTAGTAAGCCTGAGAATAACCCACTGAACGGAGACTTATAACCATTGCTTTTGTGGGTTTTATCACCAGGCATACTCACCACTTACTAAGTACGCGATCGCCCCTTCACTGAAAGATTGGCTTGTGGGATGCAGGGGAGTACTGTCAGGTCCCCCTTAGCGTCGGTTTCCTCCTAGTGTTTGGATTTCAGGTTAGGTTGGCAGGCGCTTTCCATGGGAAGATTAGAAGGGGGGCACGGAAGCCAGACGGTACTCCCCTGCAAATTGACAGCACCAAACAAAACCACAAGTCTTGAAGGAATCTCTGATAACCTGAGGTAAGGCACCAAAATGCACCACAATGAGATTCCTTGTGGAACGTCCCCCAACCCAACTCAACCTAAGGTTTATTACTCAATTGGGTTCCCTGTTGTTGCCAAGCTAAAGGAGGCGGCGGGAGGGCAGAAAGGAGGAGGATCCCTCGTCAATCCTTGGTACGTAGGGTTGCAAACCAATTTCACTAAGCCTCCAGACCGTCCAAGTGGAGCATTCTCAACACAAACGTGGCCGCGACCGGAGGCAGGGGAAGTCATCCTCAAGCAGTTTACAGAACCTTAGAGTCCGCCCAAAAGAATGGGCTCCGGGGGATCGGGGGGCGAACGAAACCGCGAACCGAGGCGCATGCTCTCCGCCTCTACCTCCTCTAGACAGCTCAAGGAGTCCAGGTACACCGAGATGGCGCGCCAGTCCTGCGAACTTCCGGTGGCCAAGGGCGCTTCCGCCGTGAAGCACCCCTGGGTTCAAATCATGGGCTTAAACCACATGGGGTTCAACCACAAAACACAGGGGTTAAAAACACAAAATGGGGGCTCAGTCCCAAAACACCGGGGCGGTCCTGGAATATTAACGCGGGATTGCCTTGACCGGTTGGCGTCGATCTCTCTGAAACCCGGTCGGAGAGCAGGCAAACAAAAGGGGGCAAAACTCCAGAAACTTGAAAAGAAGCAACAGTGGAGGTTTTTGTCCCACACCCGAAAAAGGCTCAATTGGGAAATATTGATAAGCGGTGAAAAGGCAACCCAGTGGCCCAGTAGATGTGGAAACTCTTCGATGAACCCAGGGTCAAAATCAACATCTTTTTCCGGTCTGAGCTCGCTTTGCCTCGAATCCTTTTCATCTTGGTTTAACGGAAAGCCCAAAAGGAAAGCCACCATGTCCACGCGACTCCTATTCCCACACATATCCACTTTGGCAGAGTTATTGACATGGCAACCTCAAAATCCATCCATCTTACTACACATCTCCATGTCTTGAGACATACACGTACAACCAAAACTTCTGAGAAAACCCAGGGACGCCGACTTCGAGGGGCATTGTACGTAGTAAGTGGCTAGCAAGCCTGCTTGCAACCCGCAAAAGCCATCGTTGTAATTCTCCGTTCAGTGGGTTATCTCATCAGACTTGCTAACGACTTGCCTGACGTACCCTGCCTCGATCGCCCCTTAACGGTTGCTTCAGGAAGCCATGTGTCGGCTGCTGAGCCCACCTTCTCGAGTGCCTTGAGCACAGACCCGGCGTCCAGCTTCGCCGCGTGCCTCGGGTTCCGGATCTGGACTCTCACTTGGGTCTCACTCGGATCGGTCCTATGTTCGGGGAACCTCTTGAGACCCCCAGAAAAGCCAAGCATCCCGATTTGCCCCGCGATATGCTACATGAGCGGTCAAATGTGCTCCAGCACTGGACATGTTAGGCCTCGCCCCTCCGGCTTTTGTGCCTGACGTGTACAGCTCGTCCCTCGTCCCCTCGCTCAAGCCCCAGATTGACAAAAGACTGGATGAAACTCACATGTCTCGATGAATTATGCGAAACCCACGGACTTCGCAGAAGCTCCAAACGGAAACGGGAGTTGTTGAACATATTGCACCCCCTAAAGGATACCCAAAATGATGCCGAAGGTTTTAGGGGACCCCATTTTGGTTCAAAAAGCCACACCCTCGAACGCCCAATACCACTTATTTTCGGAGTCCACCGCCCTGCCCTTGGTGGATCCGCGGAAGTTGTCACATTACAACGGTCGTGTAAAGTCCCTCCCAACAAGCTCGTGACATCCCGCACATGTCAACATGTGTGACCCAGGATTCCCCCCAGAAAGTGGTCCGAGACCCCCCGTGTCGCACAGGACACTTCATATCAGCCAGGTTCTGAATCCTGGGCAATGCAACATGAAGCCTGCGCCACGGAACGCAACATAACGAGCCCGAACCTCACGCATGCAGCGCGTATCAGCAGTGACCTCACCAGCCACCTTGCAATCATCAACATAACGAGATGCGGTGAAGCGTCCAATACACCGGGTCTATGGCCACACAAAACATAAAAACTGAGAAGGCACGTCCCGTGTCAACGCCCTGTTGCACGATCTGGGGGGGACAAAAGCCGTCCCTGGACCTTGTGGAGAATGGCTCTATGAAAGACGAGATAAGAGGCATACTGGACGACCCAATCCTGTGCCCCTCGCTGCAGAACTTCAACGTGTGCAATGAGGGTAAACTCGCGTTCAGCAGGGTTTGCGGATTGCAAGGAGGACAAAAGCTCAAGAAGATCACGGCGGAAGAAAGAGCACGCGAGAACTCGCCAAGAGCAAAAAAGCGACGGCACGAGCAAATTACTTCAACACGCGAGTTCGCTCAAAGCATTCCCGGCTCTCTCCTTGAGCTTCCCGGCTCCACGGCTCGCCAGCTTCGCTTCACTGCCTCCTGGTACGACTGAAGTCCAGCCGCTGGAACAAACAAAGCTAGCCTTCATGGCCAAAACTCAATCCAATCACCATGAGCTGGTGGCCGAACCACGGTTCAAATCGCTACCTGGAAGATGAGCAGAACCAAAGCAACAAATCAAAGCTTGCCAACAGTCCAGAACCCCGTAAAACTGCTTACACAGCGGCCCTCATATGTTCAACCACAAAATGTGTCAAAAGGCAAGCCAAGAAAAACAACCTTGACACGACTGAAAAAAAATACATGCCTCTGTCATGCGCATACAAAATCCATCTCGCGCTCGCTGGCTTTGTGTCTGACATAAACCCAACGAACCACCCAAACCTTCGGGCACAAAAATTGTGCATTGTAGTTGGGGAATCATCTCTGAAAAGCGGAACCACTGGATGTCTGGAAGCGGAATCTCTTGTCCGGCCTGCAGAATCGCCGGCTCGCTCCTCACCTTCGCTTGGCACTGGTTCAAACAAGTCGGCGGTGTCTTCAGGGAATGGCAAACACTGACTTCATGGGCTTGGCAACCTTCGTGGGGGTCGTTTTGTTCCGACCCCAAGGGAAACTCATTCTTCTTTTCATGGATGCAAACAGGTGACGCCAAAAAGATTCCTGGGCATCCTATCACAAGACTCCCGAGGTCTAACCTCTAAGCTCCCCCTTGGGCTCCCTCAAAACACCCCCTTTGGATTGTGGCAGGGCTGCACCACATTTCGCTGAAACCACGCGTTCTGCTCATTAAGGGGAACGAAAAGGGGGCGATTGAACATCTGCACATTTCACCGTCATTCCGAACTACGGGAATCCCCGGCGATCCTGCTGAGCTCGTTTTCTTGCTTCACCTTTTGCCTTTCTCGGCGGGGTGATGTAGAAGCCGGGACACGAGTCGCACGCGTCCCGCCTTCTGCGTGCCGTACTCCAGCGCCTCGGAAGGCGCTAAGGAAACTGCCCAGTTTGGACCCGGAAATCCATGGTGGACTGGATCTGACTGGCGGCGTTCTTTGTTGGCCTTTCTTTCAAGACCGCCCTCAAAAAAGAATGGGCTTAAAAAACACAACCACTTGCCAATTACTTTACTTCGAACGATCCCCGCCACAAGTCGTCCCGCGCTGCAAGCGTGCTCAACATCCAACTCTGTGAAGCTAGTCGGCTGCTTTCATGTGGCATCTGGTGAGCTTGTGCATGTGTTGCCCGAATGCAAGCTGTCTTCACTTATGCACATGTTCTGGCACCAGGAAAGTTAGGGCTGCAAACGCTTTCCAAAACAAGCGTTTCCAAGCTGAAAAACGCGTAATTGTGCAGGAGACATACTGTGGATGGACGAAATATTGCATCACCTAAGAAGCCCTCGGATGACGATTCCCCTGTATATACGCACAAGCAATGGTCTCCCATGGTTTCAAAGTGGTGCAGGATGTCGTCCATCCGCAGTTTGAAATCGAACATGCGAATCGTAAGCACAACAAACAAACACAATAACAAAAGCAGAAACAATCTGAATCAAGAAAATGCCAATTCGGCTGACAGCGTAGGTCACAAGTCTAGGGGCTTCTGAGTGGATTGGGGATTGGCCCAAAAGAAGTGAAAACAACTTCACTTTTTCGACTAAAATCGCCTTGTCAAAAGCTTAAAGTCCAGGAACTCAGAGAGTAAGTCTCTGTATTCCGTTGAATTCGGGAATGCGTCTGAGCCGACGTCACGGGTGGGCTTTCTGAAATCAGGACTGGTGGAAGCGCTTGTGTTACCATCTAAGCGCATGCGGACTGACCCCGAAGGCGGACTGATAAAAAGAAGCACCTCGGGAAAGGCGACCGGCCGAGCTGCTTGGATGAACGCGTAGTCCGTTTTGGGCCCCTTCGGCTGTGCGGGTGGCCATGTCTGGCGGCATGAAGGCAAGGCTGGGTCGGGACCACAGTCGTACTTCGCCGCCTTTAAGGTTTGCAGCTAGCAACGGGCTCCGAGCAACCCTCTCGGTCGGAGTGCGTACTGCGAAGCGCCCAAAGACTGCAGCGAGTTGAGTCGAAATACACTTCCAACGGAATCAAAAAAGAACCTTAACAGTTTAAACATGTATGTTCCACAAAATCGAAACCTCCTCATGGCTGCCCCCTCCTTCAAAGCCACCACAAACAGGGAAATCCGAGGGGGGGGGGGGAAGCTACAACAATGAAAACAACACACACTCGTCTGCATGAACACGCAACCCCAAAACCAATTTCCAGAGGAACCTCTTTTTTGGGGAGGCCCTGTTTGGGCTTCGTCTTGATCAGGGGAGCAAACGTTTGAACTGCTCGTTTGAGCAGGTCAGCCAACTTAGGATTCATCCGCAGGATCGCCGCACCATACTAATTCTGGGACTCGCTTCGAAGTTCATTTTTTCATGAACAGAACCAACCAAACAACAATCAACTAGAAGTGTCCAACAAAGATATTATAATCTTCCATTGGGTTAAGACCCCTGCAAAAATATAGAAATATGTCCAGTAGTGATAAGTTCCTTTTAAACCCAACAAGGAAAAATAATATACATATATATATATATACAGTATCATATATTCCTAAGCAAGTGGAAGTGATGTCAACATTGGGTCAATACATACCATTGCCGGAGCGTCTGTTGGGCCAACACGGAAGATCCTTGGCTTGGGAAGATCCGGTCCCTTGCCTGCAGTTTCCGGGGGTGGTGGGTAAGGGGGGGGGTCCTTTTTTGGAGGGTGCTTAAAGGGGCGATCGGGTACTTGGTAAGTGGTTGGAAAGCTTGGTGTTAGCCCACCTAGGAGACTTCTAACCATGGCAAGTGGGCTATACCCAGGCTAACCACTTAGCTGACGTACCGTGCCCCTTTACGACCCGTTTCTTTGGGGCTTTAAAGGGAAACCAAAAGGAAAGCCCAATCTCATGTTGGAGAGGCGGGTACTTTCGGCTTGTGCTGTTGAGGATATCCTAACAACAGGTCGAAAAGAGATAGCAAAACCCCCTTGAGCTGGGCTGTTCAAAATGGAGGGTTGGCCAATCCTAAGCCGAAGCCATAATCCCTATAGGGAAGCCACTACAAAGCGAGCCAAATCCTTGCGTCACGCAAAAAAAAAGATCTTGCGGATTGCGTTTGAACAGCCATTGGGTATTTTATAAACACCCAACCCAAAAGGAAAAACAGAAACAAAATGCAGGTTAAGGAAAACCCACCCCAAAGAATGGGGTAGGTTTTGCTTGACAGACAGCCCGTGTTGAGTCCGGCACGTCGATGTTCATCCTCACCGCCTCCAGCATGACCTGCGAGTTTAACGCGGGTTCGCGTGGCCCAAAAGGAAGAAACCAAAAACGGTAAACAAACAACAGGTGGTATCAAGAAGTTTGATTGTTTTGCTAAGATCTATCATTATTTTCATTTAGAAATATGATAGAACATTACTTAATAAACAACAATCATGAAATTAGAAAGCGAATAAGAAATATAGCCTTTAATGCGACAACCCCCTCCACCCGTCGCGAAAGAACAGGTCCCAACGGAGTCATCGTCCTGTTAAGACACAGTCACTGTACCTCCGTCGTCTGGAAAGAAGGTGGCTCAGAAAGCCGTTTTTGGCTGGAAAATCCAGGCTCCTTCTTTCAGAAGCCTTGGGGTCGATGGGCCCAAATCGGCGGTTTGGAGGGGCAGGCTAGGGTTCCTTGGTTCCTTTTGGGGGTTGCTGCACTTGATTCCCAGCCATCTGGTTCCTTAGACCTTTTAATTGTTTTTCGTCGGTTTAGTGGTTGGGTTTCCATAGTTAACCACCTTTTCGCAGGAAGTCTGTGCTTATTGTTTGGTTTTACCTTATCTTGCCTTTTGTTTCATGCCTTTTATGCATTTTCAAAATATCACTGCAGGGGGTGCAATCACTGCAGGGGGGCATCTAGGTGTAACTCCTAGATCGGTCAGAGGGCCCTAGATCGGTCCGGGGCAAAAATTGGGTGTTGCCCCAAGAGGGCATGTACAAGAATGGGTTGTCCCTGGTAAGAGGTGTGGTGTCAACTTTGGCTCGGGAACATCCAAGGAGCACTTCTGGGATCCCCTATATGAAGCCGATCATCTCCAAGTGTGCCCCAACAGTGAGGAAACACACACCCAAGTCTGCTCGAAAATAGGGCCCCTGAATGATTTTAAGGCGTAAAGCCGAGAAGAAAACAACCATGGATCCACCAATCTGGCTCGAAACACCCTCACGTTTTACATCCCCCAATTTTGCCATTGGGCCAGATTAGACCCCTGCACAAAGTTACGGAAGCCTCCCGCGTCTGTGCCAAAATAGGGGAACCCGACAAACGTGTTTCTCAAATTGGGGGGCCTCCAAGTAGGTGGTTTCTTCTTGGCTTCCCTTGAAACCATTCAAAAAGGGGCTCCCTATTTCGAGACGCCCGACAAATCGTGTGTGGTTCCTTTTGCGGTCCCCTTTCAGCGAACCGCAAAAAACGACTCCGGCACCCTTCAAAAAAAGACTGACACGCACACACACATGGCTTGCACCGACTCGCTTTGGCGCGGGGGGCCAGCAAGCGCACGCGCAGGCGCGCACATGCGCGCGAGCGCGCGCTCGCCCAGGCGCGCGCCTCGGGGCTGTCGCGCAGGGAGCTCGGCCCATACTCCTGTGTGAGACCTTTGGATGGGCATGACTTGAGGACCCTGTGGTTGTCATGAGGACTGGATGTGAAAGTCATGTCCACCACTTTTGAGGCGGTTCCTTCTTAATAGCATGACATCTTTCCAGCTTGCGGGGGGGGGGAGGGAGAATCCATCAAACAAGGGGAAAAGGGCGCCACTGAACTGATACGGTCCAGAAATGCCACCAACCAACACCTCCCTCAAAGCTCTGACCAAGCCTGCTGAAACGTGTTGGCCAAACCAAACACACGTTGTGCATGGTCGTCACGCCCGCTTCGCTCGTTTCCACATGCCCCCGATTAATCCACTGGAAGTGTGTGATCCCAAAGGAAAATTTACCAACTGGCCCAGTTCAGGTGATGCTTTAAGCAAATATAATCGCTTAACAAAAGGAACAAATTCGAGGGTTCAACCTGGGCGATCTCAGGGTCGCAAAGATCACCAAGCGCGGGTGTTCAATTCCAACTCTAGGTGTTCACCAAGCTTGGAAGGCATTCAAAGAGCTTTCAAACCACAACTTGCCAAACCTTCCAAAAACCCATCAAGCCACCAACCAAACCACCAACCAAACCACCAACCAAAGCACCAACCAAACCACCAACCAAACCACCAACCAAACCACCAACCAAACCACCAACCAAACCACCAACCAAACCACCAACCAAAGCACCAACCAAACCACCAACCAAACCACCAACCAAACCACCAACCAAACCACCAACCAAACCACCAACCAAACCACCAACCAAACCACCAACCAAAGCACCAACCAAAGCACCAACCAAACAACCAACCAAACCACCAACCAAACCACCAACCAAAGCACCAACCAAACCACCAACCAAAGCACCAACCAAAGCACCAACCAAAGCACCAACCAAACCACCAACCAAACCACCAACCAAACCACCAGCCCAAACCACCAACCAAAGCACCAACCAAACCACCAACCAAACCACCAACCAAACCACCAACCAAACCACCAACCAAAGCACCAACCAAAGCACCAACCAAACCACCAACCAAACCACCAACCAAACCACCAACCAAACCACCAACCAAACCACCAACCAAACCACCAACCAAGCCAACCACCAAACCACCAACCAAACCAACCAAACCACCAACCAAACCACCAACCAAACCACCAACCAAACCACCAACCAAACCACCAACCAAACCACCAACCAAAACCAACCAACCACCAACCAACCAAACCACCAACCACACCAACCAAAGCACCAACCAAACCACCAACCAAACCACCAACCAAACCACCAACCAAACCACCAACCAAACCACCAACCAAACCACCAACCAAACCACCAACCAAACCACCCAAACCACCAACCAAACCACCAACCAAACCACCAACCAAACCACCAACCAAACCACCAACCAAACCAAACCACCAACCAAACCACCAACCAAAGCACCAACCAAACCACCAACCAAACCACCAACCAAACAACCAACCAAACAACCAACCAAACCACCAACCAAACCACCAACCAAACCACCAACCAAACCACCAGCCCAAGCACCAACCAAACCACCAACCAAACCACCAACCAAACCACCAACCAAACCACCAACCAAACCACCAACCAAACCACCAACCAAACCACCAGCCCAACCCTTCGCCCGAAGCCCTCCTACGCTCGTCCTCGTAAGCGAGGCGCCAGCCATTCGGCAGCTCACGCACCACCGAGGCCCAAAAGCTCGGCTCCTGAAGGCTTCCATCTACTTTAAAGGGGCGTGGGGGGGGGGGGGATTGGATTCCCACATCCATATATATATATATATATGTAGGGCATTCCCATACCCATATATATATATAGGACCCTTCCTGGGATGGGTTTAAAGAGAAACCGGTTAAAGGAAACTACTCTCTTGTTCCTTTTTTTTTGAAGGGGGGAACAAGACAAGCCACCCATGCTGGCGATCTTCTTTCGTTGGAGACCCCCGATTGGTTGGTTTCTTACAGGGAAACAAAAGGAAAGCCACCCCCCCTCCCCCTCTTTGGGGGGTTCCTTCATTCGATCCACCTAAAGGTTGGGTCTAAACAAGCCTAGCGACCAAACAAGTGGCCCTTCCCGGTAGGATCCTGTTTTTGCATACCCCCCATGGATGACCCCAAAAATGGCATGCAAAAAAACCCACTAAAAGTCACAATTGTTTGGAGGGGAGTGCGGTACATGTTCTCATCTGTACAGAGCAACTGAAAATCGTGAGGCTCGCCCCTTTTACGCATGCTGTCCCAGGGGATTGGACGTATCAAAGAAGAACAAGTTCATGGATGTGGACGGTATGGTGGAGAGGATCCTGGATATCGAAGCCACAAGGGAGTGCCGCTGGTTTGCACCGACGATGGGATGGTAAGTCTACTGTACATGTTACAGGACTGTCCTCAGATCCCCCGCTAAAGCCACTAACTTTTAGTGGGTGAAATATGGAAACCCAACCATTGAAACCCAAAAGCCTAAAAATCCGAGGAGACCGGCTGGGAACTGCAAGGTCATACGTGGGTTATTGGGCAACAGCTTTAGTGTTACCACAGAGTGTCACACGAGTTTCAGCACATGTGCAGGATCAAACCAAATGATTCCAAATGAATTTGCGGTACAAGAAGTCCAGGGAGTAGCAGAGAGGTCGCAATACAGGATGCTCAAAAAGCAGTTGAAGAACTTGCCGTGCACGAAGGTCAGGAAGTAGCGGTACAAGAAGTCCAGGAAGTCGCCGAAGAGGTTGTGGGGTCCAATGGCTGAAATGGCGTCAGATTGGGTCAGGGACTCCTAGATGAGGGCCATCAGCTCCGTGGAGCTCTGGGTCATCTGATAGTAGAGAGCAATCATGCGCGAGAGCATTGCTGGGCTACGTGCTTCTGAAGCGTAGCAACTCGCAATCTCTCACTTGCCGAAGAAGTATCCGGTCGAGTAGAGGCCGCTGGTGGAGCCGAAGGAGTCGAAGGAACCGAAGGACCTATCTAAGTGGCCTGCGTCAGGGCGCCTCATCAGGGGCCGTCGCACGTAAGCCAGATATGCCTGACGAGACACGAGTCTGACTAAAAGGGCATGGGGGCACTGAAACATCTGAGCAAAATGTCAGCTGAAAACGGTCCTTGGGGTGCTTTTAATTTGCAATCCGGTGAATGTCAAAGTCAGTAGAAAAGTTCAGCGGTGGTAGTCACCAGGGTCAGCGGCAAAGGTCAGTGGGTAATGGTCAGAAGAAAAGGTCTGTGCATGGGGCAAATCGAATGCCCCGAAGGGTTCACGACACTGACCGTGGCTCGGAAGAAGTGCCGGTACACACTTGATGGAAGACATCGAAACTGCGAAGGCGCACCCCGAAACGTAGGAAGACACATGCACGGCATCAGGTTGAAGTTTCGGCATGGCTCACTCAGGACAGTGGGCATCCTCTTCAACGAAGTGCCAACACCCAGCTGTCAGTACTTCACGCCGTTGTTCACCATGGTGGCACCCGACTCCCGAAAGCAATCAAAAGCAAAAAGGCGAAGGACCCCTTAGGAACAAGGGGCACACACACACAAAAAAAAAAAAACATACACACACCCCAGCTAACCCCTTGTCGCCTCAAACAGCTGCCCAGTGACCTTCTCCAGCGCAACCTCCTGCGATTTCTTCGCCGATCGGAAATCTATTGGGGGAGGGACCTTTGTCTAAACTGTTGGGGATGGGTGTTCCTTTCGCTCACTCATTTCATTGGCCAGAACAGAAAGTCTCATTCTTCTGTTGGCTACACAAATCCTCTTAAGCAAACAAAAGCCCAACACCGGCGTGTTTTACTTGCCTTCAAAGGCCAGCCCTTTTCACGGACATAAGTTTGGTGCACGGAACACCCCGTTGAGCAAGGGCCCTCTACACCAGCCCGGTGTTTCTTGAAAACTGGGCCCTCTGACACGAGCAGCCATCGACTCGGGCTTCCCGATAGACACACTGCAAAGCAACATGGGTTACGCACACAAGGGTCACCCCCAAAAGAAAATGCGGTCTCGACATCAACACCATGGATCTCATCAAAGGACACCTATGTTACGCGTCAAAAAAGGGACCCCCAAAATGTGTGGGGCGCTGCTGGTTTCCCTTTAAGGCAAGGTGAAGAGGGGCTATTCACCACCCCAAAAGGAGCGAATAGCTCTCTCCTGGAGCTTGGCAGCTGCGAGCATAAAGCCGGGGTCCCCCCTGCGCGGAGGCGGCAAAGGTGGTGCGGGGATCTTAAGAGTTGTCGTTGTCATTGATCTATCTGCAAACAAACACATATATGTGAATGCACATGTATACGTATACGGGTACAAATACATATATGGATATTGATATAGATATTAGACATACATATACATCTACACAGACATATACACAAACATAAACGTGTTTAAACGCAAAGAAATGTTTAAATGCAAAGGAAAGTTGGGCAACCTTGTTGTAAGCCGCGCCAAAGACTGTGTCAAACACAGTTGCTTTCCAAGGCCAACTCATTTGCGCCAGCTTTGTTCGCTTGTTGCACAGGAACCCCTTCCCTCAGGAAACAAAAACCTCCAACCGGGCCCCTCTGCGCCGGGCCATGGTGGAGGGTTTTTTCGTCCCGAGTTTGAAACGGGCCAAGACCCTACCAAGCCCAAAAGACTTGACTCCCGAAGAGGTAAGATCCCTTTTGTGCCGATAAAACCTGCTAATCAACAACAAGTAGAGAATGGAATGAACCCAGGGAATGCCTTGAAGGAAACAAACCACGAGTTGGATGGCAAAAAAAGAGTCATTCCATGTCTCATTCCCTGTATCTCTCGCACCAGCAAGCTATTTGGGTGTGGCTCAAAATTAACCAGGAGGGGTTACGCAGGTTTTGGTCCATGTTTCCACTTACCAGGGTTCCATTTTAGTACCGGTTTTTTGAGCCACACCCGTTTGTGCTCGTCGATCTGAGCCAAAGGCACCCTTTCCCAAACTTCCATCCCCTCACCGCCTCAGCTCCGGCCCGGCAAAGTCCAGACACCCCACGTCCACCTTCAGCGCCTGCGGCTTCGCCAGGTCAGGCTCGACCCCCCCGTTTTCCGTTTTTTTGTCTGGGGACAAAAAATCGCGAGGCGGGTTGAAACCCAGGCATCCCTTTTCTTGTGCTTCTTCCCTACTTCGAGGTGCCAAAGAGGCCTTACTCAAGTAGAAGACCCTGAAGGCAAATCGTGGAAGGTGAGGGGCATAGTTCTGGCGTGTCGAGATGTGTTGCCTAGGTTTACGCATCACAGGGAAAGCATGGTTTACGATTAATGACCAGTTCAACCAATTACTCACCTTTGACCATTGCTCATGACCATTCTACAATATTGTTGTTCTTTCTTGCGAGACCTCTTGAGAGCTGGCTTTCCTTTTGCTTTTTCTTTGAAAGGAACCATCTGGCCATTGCACAGCATAAAGTTCTTACCACCAGTCCCCTCTGAAACCAACTGGTGAAGTCAAGCTATCAACATCAGGTTCTCCCGAGGATATAAACCAAACCTCCAGTGGAAATCCGCCGGAAACAAAGGCATCCTTTGGTTTGTAGCTTAGCTGTTCTTTCGGAATGCACCCCTCGTCGAAACAAATGAAACAAGGCAATCACTCGAGGTCTGGGTTTAAAAAAAGGAACAGCCCTTGGTGTAGTCTCTTTCGAAACGGGCAAGCAAAAGAACGACCCTCATTCCGGTTGCCAAGGGCGCACCATTGTGGATCTCATTCCTGAGTGGATTGGCCAACAAAACAGGTCCAAACAGGTTTCAACAAAACATGTTGTTTGGGGTTGTTTGCGGAACGCAAAGTGTCAGTGTCCCTCTAATTGGTGGTTTGGATTAGCATGGATTAGTGGTTTGGTGGTTCAGGAATGGTTCCCATTTACCCTCCACAAGAACCAGGGGTTCAAATCCAAATCCAAACCACCAATCCAAACCACCAGTTAAGGGGTGCCTGAACGTGGGTGTAAGTTGTGCTTAAAAGAATCGGATGACAAATGTATGGGGAAAACATGGTTTTTCGGCCGTCCCACTTGGATAAGAGATCAACCTGCCTCCAGGTACAGTGACCCGTCCAACGTCAGAGGTGGCGCTAGGAACCTCGGAACTCTGCGGGGGGAGCAGAACCAAAGACCTTTGGTTCCAAACCCGTGATGGTTCTTCGTGGTTTGTTGATCACAATAAAAGTTAAACAACGTGTTGCGGTATGTGTGACAAACCCCACGAATTGCTAAAAGGAAAAAGTCGAAGGGTATGGCTGACCGCCAAGGGTTGTAAAGCTCCGTTCATTCTGACCCCAAATCAATAGGGGGTTCCCCAAAAGTGAAGGACTCCTGGTTTAATCCAAAAATCGTTTATATTGACTCAACCCAAAAATGCAACTCATCTTTTCCAAGGGGACCCCAGTTGCGGCTTCAAGCAACCGGCCCCATTATCTCGCCATTGTCAATATCACCTCGTCGCAAGTAACCCCAGACCCCTGCGGCTTCTTCGAACGATTTTAGCCACAGGCGCTGCACGCACTGCCAGCGGCACCGGATGGCTTGCAGCATGAAGTCCCGGTCTGACCACAGCTCCTCCGACACGTGCAGTAGGGCCCGCCAGTGCCTCAGTGACTATGACTTGTGGACACCTGGGAGGTCAGAATGGGTATCCATGTGCGTGTGCAAGTTCTCCAAACAAGGAAATCTTCAAATAGGCTTGCCTTTGGCTGCTTGTTTGGTTTCCCTCAAAGCAACCCTCAAACGGGTGCTCTCCAAAAAAAGGACCATTGTGACCATGAGCCCAGGGGGCAAGGTTGATCAATTAAATGTGGCTGGTACGACTACAGCACACTTTGTGTTAACCGTTTCCTCTTCGACGCATCATCCATACCGCACGTTTCAGGCCTGAAAGGCGCAGGTTCTTCGACGCCCACGTCGCGGGATGGTGTTGCAATTTTCCAGGAGGCATCCTTCTTGTGTCACAGAGTCTCTAAGGCTCACTCTTTGGGGTTGGTCTCTCACTGCATTCAGTGGCAAAATGTTGGGTACTTTTGGGTGAATCCATTCAGGAAGTGTACTCTTTTAAGTAAAGATCCCTAGGCGTGAACAGGCAAGCCCTTGGTTCCTTTTAGGATGAAGCTTTGGGGTCTCTGCCCAGATAGGCCCGGAGTGGGCAGTTTACAAGGGCTCAGAGCACTCTTGGCGCCTCCAGAACACGATCGTAACAAATCGACAAAGCTTAGCTCGGGCAAGAGGTGCACCTTTTCCAGGGGCCTGGATCATGGCTAAAACTTGGAACCCCGCAATAGCCGTCCAGGGGTTCCAGAAGGGTTGGGGTTGCTGTTTGGGGATAACGGAAAAGCAATGTGACCCAGGAAAGCAACTCCTTTGCCATCGTAACAGGATCTTGCGGATCCGAAGAGCGCCGATCCCCGCCGATCCCTCGCCTGAGCTCCCGGGCTGCTGCACCGCCTCGAGGCAGAGCCGGACATCCCGGCGCAGCTCCATCGAGGCGTACTGCAGCGCCTGCCAATTCCTCGGATCCGGGGCTGGCCGGGTTCCTCGGAAGCTGACAGGTTCCGGTTGAAAGCTATTGACGTGCGCCTCGAGTACGAAAGCTATTGACATGTTGTGAATCACCCACCCCCCCATCGTTTCTCCCTTTGGGACAACTCAGGGCTAGTTGTCAATTGGATGGAAACCTGTCAAAACATAAATTTGTTGCTTCATGGGAACCTTCTGGGCCCATTCTTGTTCTTCCTGCCGTTCTATGACCCCAGCTCGTGGAACAAACTCCACGGCCTCCCCCTCCGCCTGGGAACCCAACATAGCAAATGTGAACTTCCTGAGTGGAGTGGATTGGTCAGAAAAGTCCGGACGTGTTGTTTGAAGAACTTCCCCAAAAAAGTGTAAAGTCAAGAAGCTGGGTCTTCCTCCAAGATCCGATTTACCCAAATCATAGTAACAAACAAATGGTTTTTCATGGAATCTACAGCCATCTGGGCTACATACCCCAAACAGCAGCCCGAGGTTGAAAGTCTATAAATACTGGACAAACCGGTTGCCGGCTCGAAGTGGATTCTGTCCATCCTGGCCCCTCTCCTCAAATAAATCAGATGGAAACCCATCTTATATCCATAGCATGCACATGTTGCTTGGTGGTGGAGGGGCAGTTGGGCCTTAAGAAACGTCTCCAACCTCAACCAGGGGTCACTGGATTTCTCCTCTGTAAGTTGATCAAGTTGCTGGTTTCAGTTGAAACGGTCGACTTACTTTGGGAGGTAAGCCAAAAAGGGAACATGGCTCGAAGCCCTGGCTCCAGCGTCTCCAGCCAACGTCTAGAGTTGCGATTTACTGCCGGTTTCCATTGAAACGCTCGACTTACTTTGGGAGCCAACCCAAAATGGGAAACACGGCTCGAAGGGGGAGAAAAAAAAGGAAAAAAAGCCTCCAACGTTTCTCCAACACACCCATTTCGCCTCCGCATCTTGCTCCGAGTGGCAGCTTCAGCGCCTGCTGCATCAACGCCCGGTCGCCTCGGTGCCTCTCCTCTCCCAGCTCCAGGCTCCGAAGGTTCACAGCGCAGGCCTCGCCGTAAGCCCAGCGCGGGTCGGTTGCGATCGGGGGGACACTCCCCTTTTTGGTGAAAATTCCGACCTACCACGTTTGCAGGATGCAATTTCGGGGTCAACAGTACTGAAAGGGGCATGGAACGTGAGGTAAGTGGGTAACCATGGTGAGATAAGCCTACCATGGTCATAAGTCTCCGTTCAGGGGGGTTGAACCAACCCCGCACTAAGTACCCTGCCCCTTTAAGTAGGTAGTTTCCTTTTGGTTTCCCACTAAAAAGCCATCCGAAGAAGGGTAAGGGTCCCCTATTTGAGCAACCCTTTCTTGTGCCGTGTCAACACAAACCTTGTGGGTGCGATAGTGTTGTCTCATGAGACCCCCCAAATTGGGTGGTTCCTTTGCGTTTCTCTTTACATGCAGAAAGGAAGTACCCTAAAACAGACACCAGTAACCCGCAGCCAAATTCGGCCGCATCGGTTGTGAACCTGGCGCACTTACCTGTTTCAACGAACAATGGTGTCAAATTTGGTCTGCACCCATGGTTGCAAACTTAATGTTAAGCATGGTTTCTAAATTAAGGTTCTAAGTTTGGCTTCACAGTATACAGTGCTGGTGTCTAAGATTGATCTCTAATTTTCATCAAAGGGCACTTGCCATCGCTTTGCACATCTTTCTGGCCTGGTGCATAATCCCCGAAAGAGTTATAAACGAAACCTGGAACCAACAGTGCCCACTGCAAAACCAAGTGAAGCATCAGACGTGCGGATCACTTGCCCGGGTTTTGATTGCGGCTCAAAAGCCCAACACTGCCACAACCCCATAGCCATCCATACTCTCTCCCAAAAAAAAACAGCTCGGGCAATCGGGCCGACGATGTCCCAGTCTTCCCAATCCTTTTCAACAGATGTTCCAGAAGGATCCCAAAGGAAATAATGGGGACTAGGACTATCCTTGGAATCAGAACATTCATGATCTAGACTTACCCCGCGTTTTTTTTTCTCCAAAAAAATGCGGTTTGTGGCTTGCCCCACCTGTCTCTGCTCTTCTCTTCTGTCGAGGCTTTGGGCAGCCTCTCGAGCTCAAAATGAGAGCCACACAAACCCCGCTGTGTTCTGGCTGGTGTTGGGCAAGAAACAACAAAAACACAGAAGCTTGGCCCAAGGGGTAAACGTAGATTGAAAGCATATGTTACATAGTCGACCTTAACCAGGGTTGTGGGAATTACCCACGTCTGTGATACCAATGAGAGGCCTTCCAAATGACTATCTTTCCACTTAAAGGGGAGGTCACAGTGGGAAACAAAAAAGCAACTTGTTCCCCCTGACCTTCACATATCAAACCCCCAGAAACCGGCGACCGGGTGTCCTCCAGGGCGAAGGAGGCATCCTGCATGTGTGTGTGTGTGTGTGGCTTTTTGGAGTTGAAGTGGTGAGAGTAAGCCTGGCTATCATCCACTGAACGGAGACTTGTGTGCCCCTTGTTTGACACCGGAGTCGGCAAAATGGAACTCCCGGTGATGCCCCGTCTGCGACAACTTTTCTTCGCAGCGGTTTTCCTGGGTTAGTTGGCGGTTTTGTTGAGAGAAGGATCCCTAGAAGGAATGAAATCGGAAGTTACGCTTGGAGTTCGGGGCTACCGTCATGTCCCCTCCAAATCACAACATACAAAAACGAATCGGCATCCTGGAAAGTTTCTTTGAGGGCATTCCCAAATTCCAAGCCCCGTTTTGGGGGCTCGCCGCCCGCCAGCCAACCTTGCGACGACTTAGAGGCTATTTGCAGCGCACGGTGCAAAACTTGCGCGGGGTTCTCAGGGAATGAGGGAACGAACCCCATAAACCAACTGGTGGTTTCCACAAAGGAATGCCTAGGTTCATTCCCAAACCCTGGGTCATTCCCTGAGCACCAAGAACATGGGATTGTAAGTGGTCACCAAGGCGTCTCCCTTTCCACTCGTGCTTTCCCCTTCCCAAGCGGCAACAAAAATTGGCCCCTTCGCATCACGGACCCTAATCTCCCTTGACTCAGGTCTTGTGGTCGGTTGGTTTGCCAATTGTTTTGGGCATCCGGACCCACCAAGGCCTCAGCGTGAGCTTTGTGGCTTGGGGAACAACCAAGAGCCAAAATGAACGAGCGGGCCAGGATACGGCCGACTCCCGAAATATGGCAAGTAGGAAAACATTCATACCCTCTAATCTTAAAATCATGGTTTTGTAGTTGAGCAGGGTTGGTTTTTACCCTCCTACAAATAAAACGCTCCCCAACGGAGATTGCTCTAAGAATATGTCTTGTTTCATGTTAATCGAGTGAGTTGCAATATTCCGGGCATCCTATATTTGGCTGTGGCTCAACAAACCGGTACCAAATTGGAACCCTGGTAAGTGGAAACATGGACCAAAACCTGCGTAACCCCCCTGTTTAATTTTGAGCCACACCCAGAGGGGAGAAAGCATCCTCGCCCCCAAGTCCTCTAAAGACCAAGTGACCTGGTCGAGTATGGGCGTCCCATCCCAACTGAATCGTCTCGGGTTTGGCTCGTGAAGAGTGAGCCCCAAAACCATTGGCTTCCTCCTCGTTTGCCTCCCCAATCCCCTTTTGGGGTACCCTGAAAATAGAATAAACCACCTCTCTCTCTCTCTCTCCGGCTCTTTGCGCAAGGCGATCTCACCGGAACCCTTCGCAACGTTTTCAGGACGACCCACCTTACCCCTAATTGGTTTGGGGTTCAAGCCCCCAAACCGCCCATGCAGAACACCAAAGGAGCTGAAAAAAACGAACAACCCGAATTATCCCATTTGGGAATTGAGCTTTGGGCACATTTGCTTAAGTCCCTTAGACTGACAAAATCAACAATTCCCTTTAAGACCAGCAGGGGCATAGGTGTCCGTTTTGGGAAGATACACGGCACTGGCAAGCATTTTAGAGCTAAACTGAAGCCCGGATTCGCAATCTATTTTGAACCAAACCAGCCGATCGAAAGCACACCTGCTGTGGATGGGCAAAATCCTTGCACCCCACTGGGATGGATGAAACCCTATGAATGATGTAACAAACCGGCTACCAACAGCTGCGAAGTTGATTCTATCAACAGTAGCTGTCCTCTTGAGAGATCGGCTAGTTTGAAAATAGGCGATTGGCGTCAGTTGCTCTTTTCCCAAAAGGACACCTATGAACCGGGCAAACCACGAAATGAAACCATGGTTGAAACCACGTTGCTTGGTATTTTCCTTGGGGAATCGATTCATTACCTTGGGTTTCTGAACGGTGCGATTTCTGGATCTCGTCACCATCCACAGAACTTAAGGGGGCAGGGCACTTAGCAAGAGGGTAATAGCCAAGGTGACAACCCACAAAAGCCATGGTTATAAGTCTCCGTTCTGTGGATAGCCACGCTTACTCTCACCACTGACTTGACATACCCTGCCTCGCTCGCCTCTTTAAGGTCTCCGTCCTCGGAAAGAACAAAAAAAGAAAAAAGCTCCGCCGCAACCGCCTCGAGCAACCTCGCTCCGCTCGTCAAAACAAATCGCAGCGTCGGCCTGGCGCAGCTCCGGAGCCGCGAAGTCCAGCGCCTCCGCCGTGGCGCGCACCGCTGCCAGGCACAGCGCCCGGTCCCGGCGCAGCGCCTCGAGCGGTCGAGCGGCGAAAGCGGCGAGGGGTGGGGAAGCTGGGAAAAACTGTGGGGGGTGCGGTTAAAGGAAACTCTGGGAAACCCGAAACCCAGTCCACCTGGAAGGAAACCGCCAGTTGGAGGGTTTTATGAGGGTCATTGCATTAGTTCTGGGACGAATCGGCTTCCTTTTTGGGACTCAGATTCGTTACAATAGGCTATGTTTAGGGGCGTGTCCGTTAAACAAAAAAGAGGCACTCTCAAAAAAGACAGGGCGCTATGGAGGTGCTATGGATCTTGATAAACAACCTAGCTGGCGCTTGTCGCGGATCTTGTCGAGTTCCCTACGTTTCCCCTTCAAACATGGCCCTACCAAAAGAAAACTCAGCCCCGTATCTCTGGATGAGAATCGAACCCCTCGGTTTTTCGGACTCCCAGCATAAGGGTTGGTGGCAAAACCTTGCGAAGTGCGAACCACTCGGGATGGCTTGGGATTGCTCTTTGGACTCTGGTTGCCTTTGCTACATGTTTGGTATGCGATGCCAATGAGCCAGCTTCATATAGGCTAGTTCCAACGGACGTTGAACGCTAAAGCCTGCTCTTGATTGAAAAGACTGGTGCCGCAGAGAGAAACGCCGGCTTTGAGTTGCCCTCAACAACTTGCTGATGCTCAGCAAAAAATGAGTTGGAGTGAACCGTTTAGGGGTTCCCTTACAAAGGAAACCACCAGTGGGATGATGTTTATAGGGTTCCCTTATAAAGGAAACCACCAGCTGGATGATGTTTGTAGGGGATGGTTCATCTCGGTTCATCTCGGGGTCATTCCATTTATCATTCCCTGCATCTCTCGCGCCGATGGCAAATTCGACTTCCAAGCGCATTCGCCTCAGAGGCGTACTGCAGCGCGAGGCCGGTTTGCGCCACCGCCTGCATCATCACCTGACCGGTTCGGTGGGGCCGGTCAGATGGGAAGTAGAAGGCACTTCTGCCGCTACGTCCGTAAAGAGAATGATTGTATACAGTATATGCAAGCACAATCAGGGAGCTTGAGCCATGGTATTTCACCCAACTGTATCGTTTCGTCGATGCGGCAAACATGAACAGATGCAAAAGATCGATCACATCTCGAACACCGAAACCCAGTTGACTTTTAGGCCGGTTTCTCTGCCATCATCATTCTAGTCGATCCAAAAATGGGCCAAGCCACCCAACCTCCCCCCCCCCCGCGCGAAGAAAGCGCGCGCCTCCCGCTGGTTCTTCACCTCCTCCGGGGCCGCCTCCAGCGCCCGCCAGTCCGCCGCCACCGCGGAGGCCCAGTCCATCGCGGACGGAGCGCGGATGGGTGCGTTTCGGTGGAAACGCGTGGAAGCGGCGGTTTGCTATTTGGGGCTCTGGCTGGCAAGCGCTAAACACATATATATATATATATATATATATATATGGTACCCTCTCCATGGACCCTGGTTTGGTGCGGTTGACCTGTATTTTCCAGTGTTTTATGCTTCTTTTTGCTTCTTGGATTTGTGTCAAAATTGGGGGGAGGGTCGTACATGTATATGATACGCATGCATGCATACAGATGTGATAAAAGCAATGACATCAGCACCTGCAATCTGAAAGAGTTTGAATGCATCCAAGAATACAAGAACAACTCAGACATTTTTAAAAATTATTAAAAATTATGGGATTCAAGATTCAAGATTCAAGAATCTGAGAACATATTTTCTGGGAATCTTGAATCTTGAATCTTGAATCCCAGAATTGTTAAAAATTATTTAAAAATTATGGATTCAAGATTCAAGAATCTGAGAAAATATGTTCTGGAAATCTTGAATCTTGAATCTTGAATCCCATAATTTTTAAAAAGTTTTAAACATTCCAGGGTTGTCCCAATACTCTCGGTGTTCAATAAGATTCTCGGAAAGTTTTCCGTGAAATACTTCAATCCAGTGGTAACGGATGTTCGAGGTGATAGAACAACTTGAACATTTTAGGGGTTGACCAGGATGGATGATTCTCAATAAAGTGGTGGTTTGTGGGCTCCTCAATATTGAATCCCCAATCCAGTGGTAAAGCACTTTCAAGTGTTAGAAGAACTTGAATGCTATTTGGGTTTGGCCGGGATTGACAATTCTCAGGAAAGTGTTCTGTGTAATCTTCAATATTGAATCTTCCATCCAATAGTAGCAAATTTTCAAGTGCTTAGCGATCCAGTGGACACACTTTCAAGTTATTGGTTAGACAAACTTTCAAGTGCTTTTGGTGAGCTTCATGTCAGCTATGCTCATGTTGACCCCTTTCTAGGAGGTAAACAAAGGCAGGTGCAACGCTCAAAATACTGCATTTTCCAGTATTTTATGAGGAGGCGCAGGATCATTGGGGGTACTATATATGTGTGTATGTATGTGTATATATAGATATACATATGTATGTACGTTCACACACCGTCCCCCACCCTCTTCAACTACCTGTCCACATTTGCTCATCTACTACCTCCACCTTTTGACATAGAATTAACTTTCCTGCGCAAATAGGACTTTAAATACAACGGTTTAGCTAGAATCCCTGTTTCGAGATAGTTTTAGATTTTGAACCTCTCTTCCCTTGAAATGTCCCTTTGGAACACCGTCTAACAAGTTCAATGTCGGACCTTTCTTATGCTACAAAAGGGCCAGAATGTAAACAACACAAATCCTATTTTTAATTTCCAAATGTTTAGCCATATTAATATGAATTATATTTGAGATGTAGTCTCTATTCACTTGATATTATCAAAAGCAAATTGAGTTGTGTTCGTCTTAGATTATACTTACCACTTGGAGTATATTTGGGAAAAAAACTTCCATCTAACTTCTTGTGTTATAGATTAGTTGGAGTTTAGCCGAAAATATATATTTACATTTTCATGTAGCTGCTATTTGGAAAGGATTTGCTTGTTTAAGCTGTAATTGAACATAAACACATTTTTGAAAACTATATCCATACTAAACTATATTCAAAATTCCAATTCTAGTTGAAGTAACATCTTATGTGCAAAGGGTATCATACTGGGACATTGTGGAGGACTCCGGGCTCCAAATTATCACGCTTTGGGGACCCACAATTGGAAATTTCGAGAATATAAATTTGGAAATTCTAGATTTGCCATCCCCAAAAGGCAGTAAAACCAGGGTCCATGGAGGGGGGGGTGCATATATATATATATGTATATATACATATATGTATGTGTATATATATATATATGTATACACCTACGAGTTATAGACAAAAAGACTTCAAGACAGAAAAGGTGGATCATGCGGGGGGGCTGACCATCTATATTCATTTGGGGTCTGGAAAAGGTATGAAAGACATACTCATCCCGCATCCCCTTGCAGTTTGGGGCAACCCAAAGGGAAGCCTTTTTGGGGCTGGCAAAACAAACGGGATTTGGCAGGATAGAAAACTGAATTGAGGGGTCGATCCGATTCTAAAGGGAAGTCCGCCGAGCAAAAAGGGACTCGGAACGCTGCAAAACTAGTTCAAAGTTTTTGAAATCATCAAGACACCTGCAAAAAATAAGTTTGCCATCACAACAAATCAGGCTGGGGTTCCCTTAAGATGGGTTGCCCGGTGTAACTCAAATCCTTAGACAGATCCGACTCGACCTGCAATAAGTGAGAAAACGCATCAACGGTTGGAAGACCAAATGAAAGAAACCTCGGGTAAAACGCTCAGTTAGGTCTGGCAATGTGAAGGATCACCAGTTCTTGGTGTGTGTTCTCAGTTCATATCCTTTCATGTTTTGGGGGTTGATCCGTTTTCCTGCTTCTTTGCTCCTGTTCGGCTGCAACGAACAAAGGGCTTTGCTGACTTACCAAGACTGTGGTATGTGGGCTGCATGGCTGTTACACTCAGTAGGCTGCTCGACTCTCCGATCTCTTTGTTCGCATCTAGCCCTCGCGGTCCCAAATGAGCCAAGGCAAGGATCCTCGGGTGCCCCCTGCCTGCTTATCTAAAGCTATGAGAAACTGGCAGGCGTACAAAGACATGGCCATGGGTCAAAAGCCAAATCGTACCCCCAGTGAACATCCCAATCCCCACTAAAATAGACTAAAATGAGTGGTGAATTCACCTACCCCAAAATGCATTGGTTTTGACCCACCGCCACATGGGCATGGCTTAACACATTGTTTGGACAGGGTGGGGCCATTACTTGCTGGCTGTCACATGCTACGGGTGGGTTGCCCCCAAAAAGGGCAAGGCCCATCCCCCGAGCGAGCGCCGCTCTTCTTTCTTCGCTTCTCTGCGGGGCGAATTGGCGATTTCGGCCTGGCGCCCTTTGGTAAGCACCCTCTGCAAGCCGCAGAAGTGTGCGAGAGATTGTAGCGGTGAAACAGGCCTATGGCCGCTATGGAGTCACACCTGGGGTGCTCCAAAAACAGTTGCCCCGGACCAACAGTCATATCTTAGATTCTGGCCCATATTTAGTGAACCTTAAACTGTAGAATGATATGCCAAAAGTCCAAAAACACGCCTGCGAAAATCAGTTCATCCAAAACCCATCTATCAGCGGTTGCTGCGGGTCTTGGTGGATTGCCAATCCCCGGACCTGTTTTCCTGCAAAGGGCACTGGCCTAACCTCCATCCACCCATGAGGCGGCTGGTGCACAAACAACAAAACGAGGTTCCCCTGGGAGGAAAGAACAACCTCCTAGAACCCATCCTGGGCTGAAGCGCAGGCGTCCGACAACCCCATGTTTCAGAGAAATAAACATCGAACCCAAAAAGGAGTTTCAAGCGGATTTATTCTCTTGATGAGAAAGCTTGGTTTCCCATCTACCCTCCCACCAAACATAGACCAGAAACCTGGAAAATCTGGTCATTCCAACAGGGGTCTGTAAGCTATGTTTGTTGGGAGGGTAGTTTCTGTGGTCTGGGTTGCACACCATGTTCCACACTGCCCTTACCTGCCTTTGCCTGCCTTTCCCTCCTGCACCGATCCTAATCTCTGCACGCCCCTTCGCGAATTCGAATCAGTCGAGCCGTGACCCCCATTCCCATCATGTTTTTGATGAGGCCTAAATAATAAGAAAGGTCTCCCGAGAAGCCCTTCCAGTGGGAGAAAAACAAGAAAAAATAAGACAAGACCGTGCTCAACCAAGTTGAAGACTTGTGTGGCAGTTTCCCAAACCAAAACTGCCCAAAAAAGCTAGTCTCGGGAGACCTCTAAGAAAGGTGAGCGGGAGGCGCTTCAAGCCCCTAAGGAGCCAGCGCACGGCTAAAAAGCCTGGGTCTTTCACCTTCTCGCAAGCTGTGCTTGCTTTTGCATTTGTTTGTTTCGCCAAAATGCAACACTCCCAAAAAAAGCTGCAAATGTTACTATTCCCAAATTGGAAGTAAGCGAACCCCTAAAGGCGGCATTTTACCCCCAGAGCTCAACATAAAGTAGGCAAAATAGAAAGATGCTGCTGTTTCTTCTTTGCAGAATGCAACAGACTGATTGCTTGGGTGAATGCGGAAAATCAATCACAGGCCAAAGCTCACTTGTTGCTCGTTGTTCAACGGAAAATGAAGGAAACCCCAGGAAAGACCATTCAATATGGAGGTAAACTGACCCAAAAGGCATATCAACCAACCTGGCTACCCAAAAAAAACAGCTATGATTTCAGGTTTGCTTTGCTACTCCAATTGGTCCGGATCACTGCGGAGTTCCATGAAACGCCCATTTACACCAGGCTGAGTTGGACTAAAATGGCCTGAAACTGTGCTTGCCTTGTGTTCTGGGCTGTCCGTTTCTGCTAAAAGTTAAACCCAACCACTAAACCAACTAAAAACAAGAAAAGCATGTAAGGAACCGGATGGCTGGGAAACCACCACGTAAACTGCTTCAACATCCCTTTTTCAAATTTCACCCCTCTTGTGGGTGTTTTGAAGAAATAGCAAAGGAGACCACTGGGTCCCCCTATTGTCAAGACACACGTGTGGATGCTGGCGACCATATTTAGTGAACAATGACTTGAAGGTCGCAATCTGCTACCCGATCCTAAGGCCGTCTGGAGGTGAAAAGTCCAACCCTGGCCGGAACGATTCTAGCATAAGGTCCCGCGTAAAGAAGCAAAAACAAGAAGAAAAAACAACTCCGGCACATCACCGGACGTTAACCCTAGGTTTGTCAAGCCCCGATGTTTTAAAATGAACCCCATGGATTGGCGGGTACCTCCCCCCATGGACTGCTTCACCCTGGCTTCACAATACGAGAAAACACCCCTACTTTGTGACCCTTTTACCATAGCCCACCCAGCTTTTGCCCCTCAAATGCAAACACGTGCCATGAACCTTGAAACGTGAAATCCAACTTGACAGATCCGCGAACCCGTCAGGACAA